TGCATCTAAGTAAGTAAAGGAGAAAATCAAGTAAAATTTTTACTTGAAATGGAAAGAAAACTAAAAAGCATAAATAAGTAAACAACTTACCTTGAAGTATTTAGAGAGAAAAGTTGGTGACAAAAAGAGCACTTGCTGGACTCATAGGAGAAAAAAAGAAAAGGCTGAGTTGACGCAACGATGACTCGATAAAACTAAGATTTAAGTCTAAAATAATGTTAAAGAATAAAAAGAAAAGGTGGAGTCAAAGCCTGAAAGTCAAAAGTTGTATGAACTATGAAGGTTGAAGAATATGAGAAGAGTTTGAAGTTTGAAGAGTTAGAGTTTTCGAAAGTATTAGGGCAAGCAAGAATAGGAAAGGTTGGAAGGTGAGTTATAAGTGGAGTGGGATTATTTTTACTTCTAGATGATGATGAGTGAAGAGAATCAATTAGTTAATTAGGGAATATTAATTAATTATTAGAGGTTTAGGTGGGATTGAGAATTGGAAATTGGAAAACAAAACAAATAACTAATAAATTAAAAAATTTTATATTTTTAAACGGGTAAATGGGTCAAACCCGTTAACCGGACAGGTCAACCCATTATTGACTCGTGACCCGTTGGGTTCTCTTAACGGGTCATAAAGATATGACCCTAATCCATTTTAAACGGGCAGGTAATGGACGGGTTAACGGGTTGAGTAAAAAATTGCCAGGTCTACGAATCAATGTAGCCAAAGCTGTGGGTGTGACATCCATAAGACTTAAACGCCAACCCATGTTGAAATAAAATAATAAGTCCTTAACACTTTTTTTGGATTGAGGAAATTAGAGGGGAAGGAGAGGAGAGTGAGGGAGAGAGAGCACTTTCTTATGTTTGGGTATATTATTTTAATGAATGGGGAGGAAGATGGAGGGAGATGGAGTTCCCTCCCCTCTGTTTTCAATCATTTTGATTTGAAAGGATTGAAAAGGATTATATTATTTAATTTATTTTTATTTTTAATTTTTTATATATATAAATATTTTATTTAATTAATAAATTTTAAAAAGTTTACTATTCTTTATTTTATTTTTTATTAAATTATTTAATTAAATAAAAATATTATCCTTTCTTCTCCTTCATTTTTATCTATCCAAACAAAACTAATATTAATTTTTTCCTTCCCTTCACTTCTCCTCCCCTCCCTTTCCTTTCCTTTACTAATTTTTATCTATACATAGGCTAAAGGCAGAGGACTATTATCTTCTATCATTCCTAGAGATCAATTTGGTTCCTTATTCTTTTGCTTTATGATTTGGTTGGTAGCTTATTTGTCTGCCGTCCAGGCTGATGTTGATCGATCATCTTTAATTATATATCATAGCTTTTATCTTGGTTTCAACTTGTTCATATTAATTTAGTTTCTTAAGAATGTAAAGCTTCAAATTGGATCAAAAGAGAGCGGCATACCGAATTGTGGGGACGATGGTCCAATGAAGAAATAATCAATTGAACACTTGATAAATGTTAGAGGCCGGCTCTACTTAAGATTAATAGAACTCTTTTGATTTTGATTTTTATATATTTTTCTCATACCCCATATTTCCCTTCATTTAATAACAACAATAATAATGACAATAATAATAATAATTAATAAAGACAATGATATTTGTATACCTTTTGATTTAATATATTTTATAAGATACTTTGATTCAATTATTAAAATTTATAATTTATAATTTTTTTACTTTTAACTTGAATTTTAAAAAATAATTTCTTAATAAATATGTTATAAAAAGTGTTAAACTAGATGATATACTAATCATTTTAAAATGTAAAGATAAGCAAGCATTGACTCAGCGTGCTAATGTTCCAATTCAATTTGCAACGAATAAGCAGAGCTGAATATGAGCCTCTGACTAGAGAAAGGCCAATTTCATTGCTTTTTATCAACCAATCAAAACTTAAAAGACTATGAAAATGGAAGTCGCCTGCGCTCTTTGTCCACGCCTACACCCACTTCCGGGCTAGTTCGATAAACACCATCATATTCCAATCTTCCAAGCTTTATTACAACTTTAAATATTGCATATTTCGAGTGTTGAAAAACCTTTGCACATGTGCAGATATTCTGAAACTTTAGCCAAAGAAGACAACCCGAGTCTAAATGAAGCAAAAATTCAGGAGCCAGATCTTAAATATTAACTCAATACGTTGTCTCGTAGCTTTGAGAGGAAAAAAAGAAAAGAAAAGAAAAAAAAAAAAAGAAGCCAAAGAAGAAGAAATTAAATAAAATGATAGGAAGTATTGATTCTAAGAGAAAGTTAGAGTGGATTTTTACTAGATTTCCACCCACTTATTAAAGTCGCTGAATTTCTAGGCTTGTGTTCTCTGAGGAGTAGGAAGGGTCAAGTTGGGTCTCGGACTTTTGGGGCATCTCTGAACCTCTTGTTAGTTCTTATCAAATGCATTACTAGTGCTGCAAGTTATTTAAACCACATCTGATCCTTGTACACCACCTCCCACCAAAGATTAATTAGTAATTCATATATATATATATAAGGAAGCATATTTCTCTTGGTCCCTAATTCCAATATCATAACATGCTTACGTAGTTGAGTATAGAAAAAGCTCAGATCATGCTCGGTGCTTCATATTTTATTTGAGGGCGCACAACGGCACAAGGACAACCGCATGCTCCCCATGTACCAACTTCGTGTGAGCTGACATCAAATGGAAAGTTGAGAATGGCTTCTTCCAAATTCCAATTAGCGATCCCCTTTTTCAGCTTTCGCCGTGTAAGGTCGGGGTTCCAATGTTAAAATAACACGTTGCTTATCTGCATGGAAGAAAAAATTGTTAAAATAAGTGTGCAAGGTTTACCGATAAGTCCATAACCACAGATTCGGGAAATGTATTAAGAATCAATTTAGGTAGAAACAAAGAAATTCCATTTAAAGATTGTGAAAAACGAAACAAGATCCAACTTCATGGTAACATTTTCATTCAGATGATTGGCAATAGAAGAAAACTAAAGAAAAGAAGCCTATAGTGATGGAAGTCACCTAATCAAGGCCAATGCTATCTCATCAAACAGGCAACATCACCGTAAAGTGGTCGAGGTCATGTGAAGAGACGAGAAGTGATGGCCTGATGGGGGTGCCTTTTTTTTTTTCATGGAAACCGGATGGGGTGTATTGGTTTGTAACTGTATGGAACGCACACAAATTCATCTCTACAGCAAGCGCTTTTTACGCACATTGAATACTGGCACCAGAAAAGTACCAAAACTAACATAACATGTTCAAGCTTACGCATCATTGCAACACACCATCTTGCACAAAAATTCATGCCGTAGGAATCTAAAATATCAATCATGTAGGTTAAATGTATAAATTATCTCTTAAAATTATCATGATAAAATAAATTATCATTAAAAAAAAACAAATTAAAACGATTGGTCACTTCAAATTTTTATTTTTAAGAAATTAACATTGTTATTAAATTTTGTTAAATTATTTTTCTTGAAATCTAATTAAAAGTTAATTATAATCATTAATTTAAATTGATATTTTGAAAATAAAAAATTAAAATGATAAATTAAGTCAATATATATTTTTTATAATAATTTATTTTAACACGACAATTTTTAAAAAATTTTGCATTTTTTGCCGTATGATGTACTAGATCCACATTGAAGGCAAAAACAAAGTATAGTTTCCTACACGAAACGCAACTCCACAATCCAGTTAATTGCTTATTCAAAAATATACACATTGTTAATCTTGTAAATTAGATTGCAAAAATCTAGGAATTGGAAAATAGAAACTGAAAGAGCATTTCAACAGTATATATCAAGCTTTCTCAAAACCATGAAACATGTTGACCTCAGACGGGCAATAAGAGCAAAAGAAATTTGAATAATGTGATAGAACCTATCAAACCCACTTTTGCTGCCAACTCACCACTCAGTTTGTTCCATCTTTTAGGAATTCGAAAGGTCACCATACGTGTCATTGCAAAGATAACATAGAGAATTCTAAGGTGTTTCAGAAAAAAAGTTTTCAAGAGAAAAAAGAGCAATGGGATCAATACCATAAGCAAGGCATAGGAGCATGGTGTGGTGGGCCACCTGACCAGAGGAACTTGCGATCTATACGAGCCGCACCACCTATCATAAACTTGGGATGAGGGGAGTCATTTTCCAATAAAGAATTCTAAATTGTTAGGAAAGAGAGCACAACTATTGAAAGAATAAAGAATTCTACACTGTTAGACAAGAGAGCACAAATATGGAAAGAATCCAATCATTTACTCCAATGAAAGAAAAAACAAAGAAGCATTTAAAATACCATTAACTTTAACCAGACCCCTTCTTGCCATCCCGTGGAAATATGATATTTTATGAACCCAAAGAGTTCTCGTGAATTATCTTATTGAACTTCTGAATAACATTAGCCGACTGCAAAATGAAGTTTGATCCCCCAATTCCCCATCAAATAAATCACAGTGAATTTGAATTTGATATACCAGGGTTCTCAATTTCTCCATTCGAACTCAGCCACCATCAAAGACCAAGGCTCTATTTTCTCACCGCATGCTTTTGCGCCATTAGGTACCCATATGAGTAGCGCTTTGAAAAGTCTAACTAGCCCACAACCACAATGCCTGGATGCCTAGTTGCCTATTCAAGTGTGTGTCATCAGCACTACTCAAGAAATAAAGTCAGTCCATCACATCAAGCTGAAGGGTCAGATAGTCTACAAGGGCATTCAGAGTAACTTAGCTATGTCAGTTTGCTCTGCCTGCATGTTTATCGGACACCAAATCTCAATGAGCAATCTAGCAGACAACCTGCTTTTTCTCCTCTGACATATAATCATGTAAAGTTTTTGCTAAACAAATTTCTAACCTACAGAAAAAAAAAAATTCGACTTCTAAATATTTTATCAGCCATCTCATACTTGGATGACTGATTTATCTAGTAATTAGAATTCTCTTGCACAGGCTGAATCACTCTGAAACAGTTAGTATTGAATGCTCTTTCCGCATTGTTCCCTGTCTTGCAAGGGCATAACTATAACCAAAATCAACCACAAAACAGTCATTATAATAACAACTGAATGCTGATATCAAGGGTACGGTACTTCATTAAGTGGATGCATGGGCACAATGTACAAGATACCACCCTTAATCGGCAAAAAGGAATGCAATATCTACTCATTTCTATCCGCAAAGTTTTACTAGCTTAAAAGTTGTTCTGTTATATTAATAAATTCATTTCAAGCATAACGGCTTGATGGTTTACTGTCTCTTCAATTACCCTCCACTACTTTATTAACTAGAGTTACTATTCTTACATAGGAATGCTAAGCATTTAGTCTCAGGCGATTATCAATACACACCCGCTCAAACGTTATGCAGACTTGAACAGCAAAAGATAAAAATGTAAACTAGATCACAACAGATAAAATAGGTAATGAGGAGAAGTAATTACTGATGTACAATTATGGAAGAAGAAAAGTAGATGACAGTGACAAAAAAATTAGACAAACAATGTTGCAAACTTCACTGAACTATCAAAATAGATTATTAAAAGATACAGCTTCAACTCAAGTTGCATCAACAGGATTGAATGTATGGTAACCAATATTTCATGGATAACTGAAAGAAAAAAGTGCAAAAGACAATGAAGTTTCTAAAGAACCGTACTACATTCTAATAATATCATCAAATAGGTCACATCAAAGAAGAAAAAATCGAGAATGTAACAAAAAGACCCCATTTAACTTTTACCTAATAGAGGCTAAAAGGGGTGACTTTCAGGATCAAATAAATCTGCAATGAAAGCAATAAAAAATGGAAGTTCTCAGCACCTGGTCACAGCTTACTTTAATGTGAATGTCGTCAGGACTAGTCACATTTGGTGAGAGTATATCCTCAATATCACTAAGATCGTCAATTGCCCCCTGTCCTCTTAATCCTGTTTGCATAGGGATACCACCGCATGTTAACCCCACTAATAGTTGAGCATTTTGTCCATGTGCAGTCACCACCAAGATAAGATGGAAGTGTCTGAAGATGCATTGAGAGAGCCTTATGGTAGATTTCTCCTTCAATTTTGAACTTTTTTCATATAATTGGCTTCAGAACCTGAGAAAGAGAGAGACCTTATATTGTGCTTTAAGTGGTACAAAGAGCTCCTCTTGTCAGTACTTACAGCAGGGATGACCAAAAACAGAAGACTGGAAGAAATGTGAGCTTACCTGAATAAAAGTCTGAGAAATGACTCAAACAACTGGAGGAAACTGTATAACAAACAAACCACTGAGACAATTGGGATAGTTCTCTTGTAAAAGGAAAGAACAAGATCTCAGTTTTTGCATGGGCATTCTCTAAGGAGGTAGTCCTTCTATAAACTGTAACTTCAGGATTTTCTGCACCAACTAAATGCAGTACCCCATGCTCCACCTGAGATACTGCATTTGCAATTACATGTTTATGTTACAAGTTGCATAATATAGAAACAGGTTTTTTAAAAAAAGATATAGCTTGGTGTTCACATTCTAGGAAATCCTGCAGCAACTAATTTACCTTTGCAGGCCTTTCTTCCAGCAGTGGTGCCGACCAGTTCTTGGTTCCTATTGGAGCCAGAAGAATGCAATATGTCTCCCATTGAAAAATGATAAAGCTCGGTGTCCACATTCTCAGTTAATAAAGGCAGTACTGAGCTCCTGCAAGAACTGAAACTGAACCAGTCACCTATATATTTTTTCAAACCACTGGTGCAGCTATTTCTCCCACGAACAGCTGTTGTCAACATGTAGTCATAGCATTGCAAACACATTTTAGATTGTAGACTCAAGCTCTTCAAATCTCACCAAACTTATATTGAACAACTATCAACCTTCTAGCATATAGAATCATAACTGATTTCAACACATGGTATTGGTAAGCCCTAAATAAACCAATCATGTTATCCTTGCTTTTTAATTCTAAATCCTTTTTCAATTCAAAATGCTATAAAATATCTATAAAAAAAATGTTGAAAATGGAAACTAAAAATGAAATTAATACTGTACTGTGACAGTGTTACATATAGAACTGAATTTTGTAATTTGTATAACTAATTAGCAGTCTAGATAAGAGCTAACTTTTGATGAATTATTACACATCTGCAATATATGTAAAATACGCAAATTTTTAATCAAATAGAAAACAAAATTATCAATTGAACTGCTGTCTTAAATCATCAGAGAAACGATAATCGTGAGAGATTGATCGTTTGAAAAAATTCTTAAAACAGCTCGATCAAATTAGGTTTCCAAGTACGGTAAACAGAAACGAAATTGAGGACTCCAATGCTTTCTTATGGGTCGACTAACAAAGGATGCGAAGAAACGATCTATATGATACAAGCTGTAAAAGATTAACTTAACCATCAGAGAACTAAAGAGCTAAATCGGATACAGATCATTCCAACCAGAACTCGAAACAGCATAACAAATAGACTCACGAATGTCGGCGAATTCAATATCACCGAAACCGTAATTAAATCAATCATTAAGCGATTCAGAGGCATTTAACAAGTATCAAATAACCAAATCCTGCTGGAATATATAAGAAAAGTAGAGTTCTCTCACAGGGAAATTGCGAGTCATCTGCCGGAGCGGGAGTTGGCGCCTTACTTCTACACTGATCTGACACTTCCCTCCGGCAGGATCTCTTCGGAAGATTGATAAAATTTATCGATTTTTTAAAATCCTGGCTATCGCAGTCAAAAAGAAAACTAAGAAGATGAAAATGATCAAAAGATGGAAGTAGAAGAACCACCAAATGAAAATGATCCAAAAATCGAAGTAGAAGGGACTCGGTTGGTTCAGGCTAAAAACTGGCGGAATTCAAGCAACCTAAACCTGCATTGGAAAATGATTTTGGAATAATATTTTTACATTATATTTTATATAATTTTATATATTATTTAAATAATTAATTTTTTTTATTTATTTAAAACTTTATTCCATTTTTTATCCCAAACTCAAGTTCTTAAAATATTTTACTTTTAATAAAAAAAATAATTATTAAATTATTGAAGACGTTAATTAAAATTTATTATATTAAATACATTTAATTATTTATTAATATATAAAAGTTATACGAGAAAAAGATGATTAAAAAAAATGGACGCAGCCCTCAACATGCATTATGCCACGTCTACAGTATAACTTTAATCCTTTCCAATATACCACCACGTGTAAATGCCACGTCAGCTAGAAAACGAACTCCTAAATTGAAGCAACGGAATATAGCCATCAATTTCCACAGTCCAATTGAGATTTGGAAAGAAAGAGACAACAAAATTAGAAGAGAAACGGAAACAATGGCGTCTAATCCCCGTCCAGCGTATGCGGTATGCCTATACAGTTGTGTACGTTAAGGACATGGCAAAGTCCTTGGATTTTTACGCGAAAGCTTTCGGGTACAATGTTCATCTCCTGGATGACTCGCACCGATGGGGAGAGCTGGAGAGCGGACGTCCACAATAGCTTTCAGTCTTTCACTCCGCAGCACCAGCACGAGACTGATGATCTATCTGGAAATGTCCGTGTACTGCACACGGGTAGGGAGCGAGCCCCAGTAGAGGTCTGTTTTGCTTACACCGACGTTTGATGCTGCCTTCAAGGTACATTTTTCCTCGACCTTTGTGAAATACTTGATTGTTTCTGAATTTCATGCTGATGATGTGAATTGATCGGCAGAGAGCGGTGGACAACGGCGCCGTGGCAGTGAGTGAGCCAGAGGACAAGGAGTGGGGGCAGAGAGTTGGATATGTGCGTGACCTTGATGGCATTGTTGTTCTTTTGGTTTTGCCAACAATTTATCAAATGTTTTTTTTCTCTAAAATATGTATTCAACCATATTATGGAAGTCAAGCTCCCTATTTTTATGATAGTTAATTTTGAATTTTTTAGGAGTTTCAAGTTTCAAAGAGTGTTGAATACAATTAAAAATTTTAGAGGGAATTATAGAAAATAATAATATGCAAGATGTCATTAGAGAGTGGCTTATTATTTATTGCATTCAGTTGAGGAACCAAATGATCCAAGTTCAAAGACTGCATGAGTACTATATAAAATAAAGTATAATCTCAAAAATATGGATTTTCGAACAAATACTTTGGTTCGAGGAAATTCTGGCTTTTGCATTTGATCCACAAACATACAAATTGTCTTAGGAGACTCATTCAAAGATGAAACATTTGACTGAAGAAAAATATTTGTCTGAATAAAAAGCCGGCTACAAAAAGGAGAAATATGAAGAGAATGTTGCAAACAAAGACTTGACGAAAACGATTTTGAATACATAAGTTCTGAGTTATTACAATAACTCGGCGACCAGAAGTGAGTGCAAGAACTTCAGATGGCATTCTACAAGGACACAGCACATCAACCACATCTCCCCACACGAAATAAATTAAGAAATTCTCTGGTACACGAGTATAGAAGATTGGCCAGTAACAGATCATTGCATTTCTTGTGACCGTCTGACACAGCGACCGACCTTCTTCTTGAACTCATCCCTCCTCTCTCTCCATTCTTTCTGAAACATTGAAAGAAACTGAGGTCTGAACACAAGGTTGATCCAAATTTTATTTGAAACAAAGGATATGGCATGGACAAAATTGGACATTGGAATGATTTCTCTTAGCAGTAAGCACCATGAACAATCTCAAACGTGCAAGCAAAATGCACATGTATATATATCTCTACAGCAGAAACATCATTTTGTCCTAAGGTTGGACCAGTCAGTCAAGTTTGAATGTAAAAGTTTAAAAGATAAGCTAAACGCTATCTCAAATATGTTGCATACAAAAAGAAAGATATGGAGAAAGGGCATGACCACAAAGACATGGAAGCACCCCCACGGCCCCACCTCACTTCTGCTCCTATGGTATCAAGTTTTATGTTGGTTGAGGAAACAGAAAACATACTGCTTATAAAATCAACCCTAGCATCTTCCTTGGTAAGCAATTAACGAAAGATGCTCCATATTGGAAACCTAGAAGTTTGCAAATAGACATGTTCCAAAGGACTATTGTATGTATGATCCCACAACAGTAATCATGCTGGGTTGATAAGGAGACCTCTAAATATCCAAAAGAGGAAACACTTATCGTGCAGATAATAAGATAATCAAAGGTCACTTACTGCAGCTTCGACATTTGCAGGAGATTCATCATTAGGGCTGGAAAGCATTGATATGATACTCAAAACTATACTTTCGACCTGTCACATAACAAAAATTTCAGACATAAATGCAAACGGTAGAAAAGTGGGGAAAATCATGGCTGTCAAATGTTGGGACATCATAACTTTGCAAAAAGAACTATAAAAAACATATACACTGAATGGACATAATTGATACATAACAGCTTCCTTTTAGTTGAATGTTCAAGGAGTTAATGAGATTCAACAGCAAATTAACAATTGAAGAAGTTACGTTGCTTTGCATTTGCACCCATTAGAAACTTAAGATATTCTGGATATTATCATCAGAATTATGAAATATTTACACTCGCATTCTAAAGGAAACTGTACAAAAAGACATTTAGAAACAAACAAACAATTCAACTAGACATACAGTATGGACTGGCATCCAACGTTCACTGGCAAGTTCATAACCATTTGGATCATCGCCAGGAGGATGAAGAATTGAAATGCAAACACGACCGTCAGGATATACTGTAATTCATACAGAGACAAAATTAATTTCTTGGACTGATCCAAAAAGTGCGTTAAAAATTATTAAAAAAGAAAATGGTAGATCATAAATTAACCAACCATTTGGATGCCAAATCTCTGAAGTAAACTTTACGGTAGGTGGGCTGTTTGGATAATTAGGTGGAAAGCTCATGATAGCATTGAAAAATCCCCCTTCACTGAAATTTTATATTACAAAACATGAGATAACAATTACTAAAAATATTTGATAAATTACAAGCAAAATACACAAAATAGCATATCAATGAACAATATCTTATCAACTGATCGACCTCAATTCAGGCCTAATAGACAGTTCTTATTCGAACCTTTTTAAAGACTCCCAAAAATAATTTGATAATAACGAAGTAGCTATTCATTTTTTAAGCATATGGGCAACACACGGCAAGGTTAAATTAAGCTCATGCCAACCACATCAAATCTTACCATAGATGAAAACCAATCAAGGTAATCAAACACAGAACCCCAAAAGCCTATTAAACACAAGAAAAACCAGGAAATGCAATGCAAAAATAAATAGCAACTTCCAATTATTATAATCCCAGGTAAAACCAACCCAAATCAATCAAATCTCATAAACCCAGAGATCTATTATGATGAAACATAAACCCAAGTACCCAACCTCCAATCCAATGCCCTTAAATACGGTCCAACAAAATTATAACAAAATCCACATAAAATTAACCAGACAGACAAACAAAAACACAATCTTTATCAAAGTTAAAAGCAGCAGAATACACGTACTAAAGAGTATCTGGTGGCCCAATAATTGTAACGCTCCATTCAAATATATTGCTCTCATCAACCAACCCGGCTGAGAAACCATCAACCGGGTTCTTACAAAGATCTGCACCACAAAATCCCGATCAATCAAAACCCAGATAAGATCAACCAAAAGGCCAAAACCCCAAAACAGATTTCGTTCGAAGCACCATAAAAATCTAAAATTTGAAACTGAATCGATTTTTTTTTTTTAAAAAAAAAAAAAATACCTTTGAGCTGTTTCTGAAGGAGGAGGCTGGCTTGTGATGCCATATATATAAAGGGATAAATGGAGAAGAAAAAGAGAAAGAGCTGATAAGCCCTTCGATTTGTAAGGGATGAGCAAAAGAAAAACTAAAAGCCGAAGCCGACAGACACAGCGTTCCGATTTTTATAGAGATGAACAAAATGTTTCGAAGATGTGGACTGTGCACGGCGCCACTCTAACGCCTTGTTTGGATAGAAAATAGTAAAGGGAAGGGAGGGGGATGGGGGAAAATAAAAGGAAATGGAGAGGGGTGGGGGGAGAATGAAAGGGAATGGAAGAAAATGGAGGAAAATGATTTGTGTTAATTTTATTTGGATAAATAAAAATGAGGAAGGGAAAGGGAAGAGAATGATTATATTATTTTATATTTGGATAATTAAGGTAAAAGGAAGGGAAGGAAAGGAAGGATTTAAATTAAATTTAAATTTATAAATTTACCTTTTAAGCTTGTAATGAGGTTGCCTATCCATTTTTGCTTGCTGCCAATTTGTTCAATTCATTAAATCACTCTATTATCCACCGAAATCAAGCACAAGAGAAGCCCAATATCTTACCATATGTTTTTTTTGGGTTATAATATGACTTTGGATTAAAAAACTGATAAATGCAAATTAAAGGAAAAAAATTATTGATTAAAAAACATAAAATTAAAAATTTAACAAATAAATATTAAATGAAACAATTAGTAAAAAATTATTCTAAAAGTAAAAAGCAAATAATTTTATTACAATATAGTCTCAATGATACCAATAAACAATAAAATAAAATAACTAATAAAAATCAAACCCTAAAAAATTATTCAAACATAAATTCCAATTGATGAAAATTAGATTAGTGAAATTTAAAAAATAAAGCTACGGATTGTGCCCAAGAACTTGATGATTAAGAAATACCAAAAACAACCCTCATAACAATATCTAGGCGTCTCCTAGGTGGACATCCTAGTATTGCTCTTAATTTCTCTGGATGCTTAAGCAAATATAAATAAGCAGTGGTAATTTGATCTGAGTTAAGTCCCAAACTTCAGCCTCTGAAAGTGGAGGACGTGAATTCCCTTCGGATAGAGCTCGAGTTACATTGTTAATAGCTTCTTGAATGCCCATTGCTTCATTTTTAATTTCTTGTGACTTCTTTAATTTTTTTGATTTTGAGCTAGTTGGCACATTTAAAGGACCTCCAAGACATGTTAAAAGATCAAAATCAACATCATTAGTTCCAAAACCATCCAAAGATACTTGATTCTGTGACACCATATAATCAATTTCCTCAATGGTATTTTGAGGCTCATTATCATGTTGGGATGATTGCTTTTTCTTTAATTCTTTTGCAATCTCTGACTTTTCACCTGTAGCTCGATCATTTCCAAATAGTATCACAAATGTATCATAATACAACACTGGTTTTGTCATCCACTCTTTAGCATTATTATTAACCTACAAATCATCAACATTTTAAAATAAAAGTAAATAATTTAAGTCAAGCAAAATCATAGCAAAGAAATTTAAATTAAAATTGTACCTTTATTAATGCATCCCAAACTTCAGGCTCGGCACTCCATAGCTTGGTAACAGGGCTCCATGAAAAACCACTAAGGTTTTTGAATAAATCATGGGATTTTGAAAGGTTTGCCTTTAAAGTTTTCATGCGATTTTTAACTTTATCTTTGTTAACCTCCTTCCCAAGTTTTTCTTTCAATTCATTAACAATATCTTCATATGCTTTGGTGGTAAAGGAACCATTTACCCTATTGCCCAAATTATGTTGATGTAGGAAAGCATCCATAAGAGCCTCATCCATTATATGTGTCCATACTAATTTGCCTTCTTCACTTGCATTTTCAATATTACTATTTTTCTTCTTCCCACCCATACCTGGATCAATGCTGAAGGCTATTACTGTGTGAAAACAGATTCCAGCTACTGCTGTGTCAGTGCTCTTAATGAATTTGCCTCTAAAATTGCTATTCCAGTGAATATGGATTTCAGTGTGGTAGAAAACTCTTTAAAGTTTAAACTAACTTACTAAATATATTTCTATAGAACTGTAGCAGAGAAATATTTATACAGGGTCAAATAAAGAAAGAAAAAGTCTGAGACCTCTGATAAGACCTCCTCATAGCAGCATGGAGTCATCCAAAAGAATGTTGTAAAGACAGATACATGAATTATGAAAGCTAATGTGAAAGCTAACACTGTAAGTTTAAAACTAATAAACAATACACTTGTACAAGATTCGCATGACCTCCTAAAACTGTGTGCAACATGACAAGCAATATTCATCAAGAAGATATGATAACATAAATTGATGGCCAACAAAGGATCAAATATCAAATTTAAATTTTAACATGAGAGTCCAAAAGGAACCTAAGCAATTAAACCTACACTCTAGAAGCCGATCACCATATGCCTAGACAAAGTTGTTGTAAACTATCCATACAATCTCATAAGTTTTACAGATCAGATGATTATTTGGTACAAACCAAAGTATAATATAAGTTCGAGTCAGGAAAAAATTCCCCCCCACCTAGCCACAAAAGATGCTTAACACTACACAAAATGTTAAACCAACAGAGAACCAGGAATTTTCAGCAACTAACTTTTGGTTTGCAGTCTAAACTCATGCAACGAGATAAGTCAAAACTTGATTATATCAACATCAAGGAAAAAAAAAAAACTGGATTGTATCATGGCATATTCCGCTCTGAGTTTAACAGTTACATTCTACTCTGGTGTACAAGCTCATAAATTATGATGTAGTTAATTCATATTTACAAAAATCTAAATGCATTCAAGTTGAAAACATACCCCACACAACTTTCAGGTAAGCTACAATAGAATACCTTCCATTGACAAGAAAAAAATACACACATATAACACTGGTTTTTTAATCCAGTTCACTTGCGCATTTCATCAAACAATAGGTGTGCATTGGAAAGCTTTAGGTGTATAAAATACCATGAAGCCAAAACACAATCCAATCACATAGAAAACAATACAAAACTCTAATGGAAGGATCACAGAGTTAAACGTTGAATATGAAACAAAAGGACATTTTCTAATCGACTGTCGTAGAGGAAGTTAAAGGGAAACATAATTCAAAACAGGAAACGAAAATGAGATAAATACCTGTGAATCAAAACAGCTAATTCCTTGTTTTTGTTTTCAGAAGAGAGAGCGAGAGCGAGCTAGAATGCCAACCATTCCATTTTCTAATTCAACTTCATTATCAATTTCAAATGCTATGTTGTATTAAAAAATGGTCAAAGCTGGTGAGAGAATGGTGAAAGCTCAAAAACAATCAAAATTGAAGTTGAGTTGCTAGTATCCTTACCTTGAATTTAGTTGCCGCTGATGCTGATAACTAGTGGAAGAAGAACCAAAGGCTGTGGGACTCTTTGCATTCGGTAAAGAGGATATTACTGTAATTTTTGTTGGGAAAATCTGAACGTTCGCCAAATCCGTCCCAAACCCCCCAAATTGGGGGGATTGGAAATCAACCATTGTAAGGGTTGTTGAGGGGATCCAGACCTCCTCTATCTCCTTCCCCTTTCTGCTCTTTAAATACCCAAACATAAGGAAGGAGACAGCCTCCCCTCTCTATCCCTCAATTACCATCCGTCCCCTTCACTCCCCATCCCTCTCCATCGGTCTCCCTCAATCCAAACAGTATGTAAAGGTTTACATTGGGTTGGGTGAGGTCGACTTTTTAATTGGTTTAAATACCATTTTCATCGCTCAATTTTTCATTTTGGTACCAAAATTATCCCTTAACTTTAAAAAATATTAAATTTATCTTTAAACTTTCATTTTTAGTGTCAAAACGGTCATTCCGTCAGTTAAATAACAAGTGGCACATTAACTTACCAACAAGTCAATTCTTTTTTTGCTTAGCTAATGACATGGAAAAAGAAAGTATAATTGGTCATCTTTTTTATGAATTAGCATTTTCATTTAATTTAAAAATAATATTTTTTTTTTTACCCACGTCAGATTTCTTTTTCCTCTTTCATTTTCTTTCTCCTTTACCTTTCCTTTTCACTTACCTCTGCAAACCCAGACTTGGGTCCTTTCTCAAACTTCATCTTCTTCTTATTCTCTCTCTCTTTCTTCTCCCTTCTTCTTCCGTTCTCCCCTTCTTCCTTTCTCAAACCCAGATCTGGGTTTCATCACGTAAATTAACAATTTGATGAAATTGATGATAATAAAAAAAAGCAATACAAATCATTCCATTATATTAAATATAAGCAACAAAGCTATCCAAAGTCATCTATGGTAAAGTAATGCACCAAAACTCAGAAGCAAAATTCTAGGGTTTCACTTTCCCCCAAATTCACAATCAGTGAATGGTAGTCTTGATTCCAAACACTAAAAAGCAATCACGAGAAACACATAAAATATAACCGTAACTTCAATAATTATCTCACATCTCCAAATCCATACAAGAAATCAAAAACAAAACATTGTACTCGATGTACCAAACCCAATAAACTCATCACAATATTGCTAATAAACAGGCTCTAACTCAGCTAAAATTCGTTCAAATCAGCACAAAGAGATCCAAAAGTCAATTGAAAACACCAAATACAAATTAAAGCTAAAACATACCTTATTCTTCGCTAGTTATCAGGCTCGAACACTGAAGTCAAGAGAGATGGAGAGAGTAAGCACCATGAGTCAAAGAAGTCATCTAGAAGGTCAAAGATTGAATGGTATTGTCTCTCTTGAGATGAGGCAGCTGTGGAGGTGGTGGCGACGAGAGGCACCTCGGTCTCCATTTCGACGATTTTCACTGCCGGTTGGATTTGATGACACAAGTCACAACTGCGAACCTATCATCTTCTCGGGCCAATCTGGGGTTAAGAAAAACCCAGATCTGGGTTTGAGAGAAAAAGTAGAAGGCCAACAACAGTAGTAGCAAAAGGTTTGGCGTGAACGATGACAAGATTGAACAAGGCACTATCACCTAGAGGAATGAAGAAGTGATCGAGTGTCCACTCCAGCACATAGGCGTTATGCTCGCTATCATTGACGACGACGATCATCACTTGCTTCTCTGCCATTTGAGAAAACTGAGAGCCTAGGTTTGTAGAGGTATCGAGTGTCCACTCCAATGCGTAAGCGCTGTGCTCGCTGTTGTCGATGGCGATGATCATCACTTGCTTCTCGGCCGTTTGAGAAAACCCAGGGCTTGGGTTTGCAGAGGTAAGAGAAAAGGAAAGGTAAAGGAGAGAGAAAATTAAAGAGAAAGAAGAAATCTGATGTGGGTGAAAAAAAAGAATTATTATTTTCCAATTAAATGAAAATACCAACTCATAAAAAAAATGGCCAACTATATATTTTTTTTCCATGTCATTAGCTAAGAAAGAAAGAAAGAATTGATTTGCTGGCAAGTTAATGTGCCACCTATTCATTTAACTGACAGAATGACTATTTTGGTATCGAAAATGAAAATTTAAAGATAATTTTGGTGTTAAAGTGAAAAGTTGAAAGATCAAAATGGTATTTAAACCCTTTTTAATTTGGTGTATTGCCAGCAAGAATGTGACACGTTTATGTTTATTCCAAAGGCTCTACGAAGGGAACTCCACTAAGCGGCCCGATGGCCGCGCACCTCATTGAGGTCGGTGGGCTGTTCATCAGATTTGGGGATCGAATCCCTAGTTGCTAACCTCTAACAATACCAATCTACTAATCATTGCCCTTATCAAAAAAAAAAAAAAAAAAAAAAA